TTGCAGTGCTCTTTCCCTGCTTTTCTTTATCAGTTCAGCTAACATTTCGATTTTTTGGAAGAGTGTTTTGGCTGTAATGGGGGGAACAACCATTCCAGTCCCCTTATCTCCCCTGTTTTCTTTTGTTGTCRTTGTGTTAGCGCTCCTAGSAAATATTTTTCTCYACACTGAATTAGTCTGGCYCAAATAAGCAGGTTTTGCAGCAAAACAGAAGCCTTCACCTCTGCCAGTCTTGTCCTCAATTGCCTAGGCTGCTTCTTTGCAAACATCCTGATCACTTCTGGAGTTTTAAATGCTTGGCTGATGGCTGCTTGTATTGCCAGTTGCATCCCACTGAGCTCGTCCACCAAAGTCATATCTTCAGACATAATCTTCTTCAGGGAGTCATTGAACTCACTCAGCTGCTCTAGAGTTTTCTTTTTGGTCACTTCGTACTCATCTGCATCCAGCTCCTCTCTGCATTCTTTCAGATCTTGAAGCTGTTGCATTAATCTGTCTAACTGCTCCTCCAAATTTTGTTTTAGTTTACTGGTTTTTGTTTTTCTTCTTGAAGCCATTTTCTGTTCTCACATGAAAATGTTTTTACATGACTCGCCTTCTCACTAAGCTTTCTGAGGGCTGTCAGAATTTCCAGTTTCTGTTGGGTGTACAGGTCTCGTGGCAACTTCTCAACCATTAAGTCTCTGTCCATCACTAGGTTTTCTAGCACACTCAGTGCTCTCCTTGCAATCACTGCATCCTCATATTGTGAGATTTATTGGCAGTTCTGGATCTCGTCTGTGTATGCTTGCAGTAGTGACACAGTCCATAATTTGGTTTAAAGCTGCCCTTTGATTCTCAGTAACAGTCACGGGTGATGTAGGGTGTATACCTTTAAGAAGAGGCCGTAGCTTATCTAGGAGTTCACTGGGAATTCCCACCATGGGTCGCAACCATTGCAAATCTGTGAGTAATTTCTGGGTCTCAAGTAAGGCGTTTATTTCAGCTTTTTAGGTACAACTGCTTCTTCATTTCTCATGCCTGCACAACGTCAGCAGGCCGGTCGATGTGCTCCTTAAAGATCGTCATGTATCTGTGGTGTAACAATACTGTCTCTTAATGTCTAGCCCAGGTATTTCTACGGTGCTGACAACTGGGTTTTCTCTGGAGCAATTATTAGCCTTTGTATCTTTAACGCCTCACAGATAGCCTGTACTTGAGCTGGAATGCRGCTGCTCTTGGGCAAACAGAACATCCTCCATGTAATGATCTTTCTTTATTCAGTGCAGGCAATGTAGATGCGAACCTAATTGTGTCTTGTGGATGTAGCTCAATAGTGAAGAAGTGATGGTCAGCTGCATAGCAGCACGCAGATCTGGCAGTCCCAGTTGTAAGGCTTTCAGGTTTCATTTGGTCGTTAACTGCCCTCAAATCCTGCATTAGTCAGTATTTCCCTGGCTTCTT